TGGAGGAAAGGAAGGGAAATACCAGGCATGTTTGCCCAGCCCTTCCACCGTCCTGGCTGTCTGCTCCAAGCTTTGTGAGGCCGCAGCAAGGGCCTGGAGCTCAGCAAACAGGAATGGGATGAGCTCTGGCACTGCAGGGATGCAGCACCAACCCACGTCCTGAAGACCCCCATGGGAGAAGCAGTGGGGGGCTGAGCCCCATGGGTGCTTTATTTCTCTGTGTTACAAAGGCAGAAGGCAATTCCTGAAGCAGCAGCAGCGTCAGTGCATCCAGACTTCCTTACCAAATCCTCCCTTCCAGCATCACCCCAGGGCAAGGGGAGCCCTGGGATGGAGCTGCAGGGATGCTCACAGCCGAGATACCCTCAGCATGGCCCCATCCGGAGGGAGGCCCTCCAACCACTCCACCAGGATTTTGTTCAGGGCCGCAGGCCTGGGGGGAATGCAGAGAGTAGGGTTGGAGTTGGCATAGAGTGGGGGTCCAGCCCTGGGTCCCCCTTTCCAGCCCTCACCTCTCCATCTGTGTCCAATGGCCACACGCCTCCAGGTGCCCCCGGCGCAGCTGTGGGATCTTTGGAGGAAGCAGGAGGGGGCTGGGCCAGGAGCAGACCCCCTCCTGCCTCTGCTGAGGAAGGAAATACCACCCCTTCCCCTCTAGGCCCCACCTGATGCCCTCCTTATCCCACCCTTATCCCCCCATCCCCTCTTATCCCCCTTATTCTTCCCACATTCCCTTATCCCCTCCTTATTTCCCCCTTTCCCTTCCCTAACCTGTTTCTTATTTCTCCCTTTATATCCCTGTCTTCTCCTCATCCCCCTTTGTTCTTTCCATATTCCCCTCATCCTCCCTTATTCCCCTCCTTATCCTTCCCCCTTATTCCCTCCTGATTCACATTCTAATTTCCCTCTTATCCCTTCCTTATTCCTGTTTTAGTCCTCCCCATTCCTCCCTTATTACTCTCCCTTTATTCTTCCCTTATCCCTTCCTTATTCCCCCCTTATTCCTTCCTTATTCCTCCGTTATCCTCCCCTTATTCCTTATTTATTCTTCCCTTATTCCCCTCGGTTCCTCATTACCCCCTTCTTATTCCTTCCTTATTCCCCAATTATTCCTCCCCTTCTTTACCCACCCTTTATTCTTCCTCTTACCCCCTCCGCAACCCCCTGCAACCCTCCTTAACTCCCCACATCCCACACCCCAGCCCATATCCCATCACAATTCCCACCCCCCAGAGCTCCATTCCCATTGGAGCTCCCACGGAAGCATCTCCACCCCAATGGCTTTGGGATGGGGCTACACGTACCCACTCCTCCATGCCCTTGCTCATGCTGGGGAACAACACCACATCCTTCCCCGCTGTCACCATCAGTGCTGGCATGAGGATCTGCAGGGGACACATAGGGTGACACTTATCTGAGTTGTGGTGGCCCCACACACTGCTTCTATGAGGGAGATCCCCGTGCCCACCTTCCTGTCCTTGGCTGAGAGTGCCCACTGCCAGTTGGGTCTCATGTTCCGGTACCAATTCAGTGGACCCCTGAGGAAAGGGAATGGGCAATTGGAGCACAGCTCCACCGATTCCATCGTCCAGCCCATGACACGGCCCTACAGAGGCACAGCACTGCTCCTACCTGAAGCCAGACCTCTGGAAGCGCTCGATGTAGTACTGCAGCACAGCACCATGCAGGATGAGGCTCTCAGGAATGTCCTCTGGGAAGCCGACCAGCAGCCCCCCTACAGCACAAAGCAGGGCAATGGGAGCATGGCCAACCCCCAGCTCAGTCCCACTGCAGAGCTGTGCCCCCAAGAAGCCCCATACCTCGCTCCTGGACACCATGCATGCCAGGTACCGAGCGCAGGCGGTCCTGAAAAGATGGCACAATGCTAGGGGGGGTCATCCATGGCCAACGTGGGGCTGTGAGCCCCTCCTTGCCATGAGTTGTTCCCCTATATTCAGCACTCGTGAGGCCGCACCTCGAGTACTGTGTCCAGTTTTGGGCCCCTCACTGCAAGAAAGATATTGAGGCCCTGGAACGTGTTCAAAGAAGGGCAACAAAGCTGGTGAGGGGTCTGGAACACAGGCCATATGAGGAGAGGCTGAAGGAGCTGGGAATGTTCAGCCTGGAGAAGAGGAGGCTCAGGGGAGACCTTATTGCTCTCTATAACTTCCTGAAGGGAGGTTGTAGTGAGCTGGGGGTCGGCCTCTTCTCTCGTGTCATTAGTGATAGGACCAGGGGGAATGGTTTCAAGCTACGGCAGAGGAGATTCAGGCTGGACATGAGGAAGTATTACTTTTCAGAAAGGGTGGTCAGGCACTGGAATGGACTGCCCAGGGAGGTGGTGGAATCACCGACCCTGGGGGTGTTCAAGGAAAGGCTGGATGTTGTGTTGAGGGACATGGTTTAGTAGGAGCTATTGGGAATAGGTGAACGGTTGGACTGGGTGATCTTTTAGGTCTTTTCCAACCTTAGTGATTCTATGATTCTATGATTCTATGATTCTATGAGTCAGCACCAAGCATTGCTGCACCCCAAAGGATGCAGAAACCATACCCTTCCCTCAATGTTCCCCTTCCCTCAGTGCACTCGCTTCCTCAAAGCACCCTTCCTCAATGCACCCCCTTCCTCAAAGCACTCCCTTCCTCAAAGCACCCCCTTCCTCAAAGCACAGCTTTGCAGTGTCTCATCACTCTACAGGGCTGTGAGCCCCACACTGCTCACAGAGATGCGTTCACTCTGGTCCCTAGTGATGGCAGCTCAATGCAGGCTGTGCTGCAGGCAGAAAGGGCAGCAGACGCAGGTGGAGCGTGCCTGAAGGGCACCGGAGGCAGTATAAAGCCATCCCCAAATTCTTCTGCTCACCTCCCCCCAGGTTTATCCTTTTCCCTCCCAGCTCCTCTCCTACCTCTGGGCGGATGGAACGGATAAGGGCTTTCAGGGTACGGCCGATGTCTTTCTCCAGCTCAGCCTCTGCGACACCCTGCAGTGTAAGATGGGGCAGTGGGGTGATATTGGGTGCCCCATGGCACTGGGATGGCACTGGGAGTCCAGCCATGGGGTAGGCAAAGACTGTGCACATTAGGGACCCCAACATGGGCAGGTCCCTCATTTCGGACTCACCGGCTCCTGGAAGTAGAACTGATAATCAAACATAGGGAAGCTTTTCATCTTCTCCACGATGTCCTCTGTGGGGTCTGCTGGTCGGTATGGGGTGTTCAGTGAGGCCACGGCCCTAGGATAATGCGGGGAGCATAGTCACCATAGGGAGCAAAGCCAGGCATCCCCTGCAGGATGAAAGGCAATGGGGCACTCCCTGCAGAGATGGCTGCTGACCCCAAAAGGGCAGTGAGGTATGAACCCACCTCACTCTCTCGGGGTAGAAGAGGGCCATGTTCCAGACCACTACACCACCCCAGTCGTGACCGATGAACACGGCTTGTGGGATGCCCTGCAGGACAGGGACAGGAAGGGGGACCATGAGTGCGTCCCCATGGAGAGCATTCCACTGAGTTCAGCACCAAAAAGAGCATCCTGCTGAGCATATCCCCAAGGAGGGCATCCCATGGAATGCATTCCCAAGAGAACATTCCATTGAGCTCAGCCTCATGGCGAGCATCCCAGTGAGCGTGTCCCCAAGGACAGCATCCCATTGAGCTCATCCCCATGGCCAGCATCCCAGTGACTACATCCCAAAGGAGAGCATTCCAATGAACACAAACCCAAGGTGAGCATCCCACTGAGTATATCCCTAATGAGAGCACTCTAGTGAGTGCAACCACAAGGTAAGCATCCCATTGAGCCCAATGACCCCCCCCCCCACTCAAAGCAGAGACTGGCACCCTAAGCACTGAGCATAGAGAGCTTTGCCTTCCCCAGAAAGCATTAAAAAAAGATCAGAGAACAGCAGTTTTCTCTTTCTTTTGGGGGGCCTTTCGCTACCAGTGGGATGAGGATGAAGGAGAGGGTAGAGTGTGGGGTTCTGCAGGGGGACTTATGGGGACCAGCCCCCAGGTGACAGTGGGATGTAGGGTTGGGAGGAGCTGGCAGCACCCTGCAGGGCAGCCAGATCCTACACCCACTGCTCTGCTCCCCACATTTCCTTTCTCCTCACTGACCCCCGCAGGCTCCTACAAACAAATCCAATTAAAACACCAGCTCGCAACAACGAAGCAGACGCTCTGTAATTAGCTGATGTTTAGAAATATAATTAAAACTCCCTTCCAGCAGCAAGAGCTCCCTGAGGATGGCAAGGGGGGAAGCTGAGGCTGGCAAGGCTCTGTGCTGTGGTTTAACCCTCTCCCAAAAGGGGGATGGGAGCTGAAACCCTATAAAAAGGGGATGGGGGCTGCCAGGTTGAGTACTCCAGGATCTGCTGTGATTCCAAAGGGTTTGCCATGGGATGATGCTCCCGTGGAGGTGGGTACCATATCCCTATACTCAGCTAAAGACTGGAGGAGGCAACACAGAACAGGAGCTGACAGACCCTATAGGGATATCCCTATAGATCTTGGGAGACACGAGCATCCCTGTCCTGAAGTTCACAACTACAGCATACAGGGAGAGCACAAGCTGCAGAGATATGGAGGCAGGTGGTGGGGGGCTCTTACCAGTTTGTCCAGGAAAACGGTAAGGTCCTGGAGGATGGAGAAGATTGGGGTCAGAGGGTTCCACATCCCAGTGTTAAGCAGAGGCTGAGGTCCCCCCCATGGGTCTCACCCATAAGCAGTAGCAAAACCCAGGGCTCCAGCTCCAGCTCTCCCATCTCTATTTGGCACCACAGCTCCTTACCTTACAGATCTGCTCCTGGGAATACTCTTCTATCTCTGCACAAAAGACAGAATTCCCATCATTGCAGCACTCCCATTTATCTAAAGGGATCACGACAGCCCCTCTG